AGCCAGATCTTTATTCAAAATAATTTTAGATTTTGATGCGCACTCGTGAATTATGTTTACTAATCTGTTGAACCAGTGAAATGTCTCATCATCTAGTTGAGCTTGTGGATGACGTTGATTGATCCTATCACCAATAGCCACTCCATCAAACGCCTCTCGGCGCAGTAAATCTTCTACTATCTGATCAAATTTGGCGCAGTTCTCTAAAGCAATAACAGTAGCTTGATATCCCAATGAACGGAGATGCGTTTCAACCTTTGCAGCAATTTCTACGTCGCTCGTAAATACCAGCACCTTCAAGTCTCTGTGATGAACGTCTCAGCAGTCTGTGTTTATTATCAGTTGAACGTCAGATTGATTTAAATTATGAACAGTTAATTGATACTTTTTCTTCTAATCATCAGAACAGTCGACTTCTGTTGAAGTAACCTTTTCGTGTTTGTTTCTCTTAACTTATACCCATGATTCACCTTTAATCACTCATACTAGTATTCTTATTCTCATTCTGTTCTCATTTTTACCTTTTCTAATCGGCTTTACTTGATGAACAGCCAAATATTCGGTGCAAGCAGGAAATGGCAACAATCTGTCGAAATTTTCTTCTGGCTCAGTCAAAAATGTACGCATTACCCATAAACTGCTCCTGTATAATCACACTAGATAAAAATACATGCAATGTTATAGTCTGTAGTTCCATGAAACCTAATTTCTCCAGCTCTGCTGGACTATCTGGTAGTTTTGAAGAATTTTTATTTTTTTGCAAATGGACAGAAAGGTATTTCATCGTCTGGTACGAAATTATAACATTTCTTAGATCTAACTTCGTATCATGATCGGTGCAGTGTTCTTTTTTAGTTCTCAACCAACTGCTAGATGGATGTATTGTTTCACAGCATGTACAAGTTAACCATTCTTGCATGATAGTACCATTGTACTCCGTCTCAATATTCTTAAACGTATTCTCCATTAAGGCATATGAAAAATCTTCTACTCAAAAGTGTATACTGTTTCTTATATTCGACAGGGAAAAAATCATTTAATTATTCTTTATTAAGGAAAACACTAAAAAATTTAAAATATAGGTCAAAAGGAAAGGAATGATGTATTACTTGATGACTTACAATAAACTATTACTTGCAAATAAAGATGTAATACACCAGAGTGATGCTAATTAGCATTGATTAGCTTTAAATCATTATAAATTAGTCTCTCAAAAAGCCTTTTTCAAATTTTTTCCCGTGAGAGTATCACAATAAATTATTGACTATTAAACAACGCGAGAACGGCATTTCTATGATTATTTTTAACTAAGCTACAAGCTTTGCAAAATGGGAACTAGCTACCCAAATTCTAATTAAAATTTAAACTTAAACAATTAAGAACTCTGCGAATACTTACTAGTTCATCGAAAGAACTTAAGGAAATATGTAGTCAGGTGTCCTCTTTAAATTGACAAAATTTGAAGGTACATATAGGGGGGGGGAGGACCCTCCTTAACACAATCCCAATTCTAAACACGCAAGATCGGATTCGGCACGGGTTCAAACATAAGATCAAGAAGATGGACTAATAAATTGCTTCTTCACACCTTTCATCGTGTCGCTGACTGTGTTAGTTATCAAATATAAAATTTAGTATTACTCAATGCTAAGCTAAACTACTGGTCTTTTATCATTTGTTTTTCTGTTGCAATAGAAACAAAGCAAACACTTATCGATGAAATAATTATCAATTCGCAGATTCTACCACCTAAAGAAATGTGAACTTGATTAGTCAAGCGGATCAAAAGTTATAGTCAAATAGAGGCAGTTAGGGAATTTTTTCTGTGGACTCCAGTAAAATGTAAATTACTCAGCCTCAGATTAATTTTGAAATGATCGCTTGGTTACCAAATCATAGCTCACAGTATGGACTATTAGAATCACTATAGACATTTCTTTGAACTAATTTGCCCTGAAAAAAAAAGTGACCGTTACGGAATTTCACCTTTTCTTGCTCTTCTTTCGAGACCCGTCGGTATATATTTTTTCTGTAGCAGAACTATGTACCAAACTCTGATTTGTACATACATAGATAGTGTGCGGTGCCCTTTATCAGATGCAGCCAAAATAAATTTTCAAAATTAGATTAAATGGGTGTCAAATTATTCGCAAAATAAGCGCCAAAATCCTTTTTAGAGAATCAGAAAAACATTTTGGAATCCGGTCGCGTAAAAAAAATGAGAGATTTTGTAGCGAATTGGGTTCTCTGTCCGATGGTGTAGGTTTCAGAATTTTTGAAAGAAATATTTTGACCAGAAAATTAAATTTAACTTTCTAAAAGATTTTAAAGTAAATTTTCACTATGCAAATTTAACTTTAATTTGTTTTTGAGTTCAGATACATAATCAGGACAAAAAACTGCGTCTAACGATGTATTTCTAACATTTGTTCGAGTGGAAACAAAAATTCGAACCTTCTGATCCGAAAGATGACCGTTAGCTGGTCACGCCGAATAGCTACATTTATATCAAAAATTTATCTTAATGACAACAGCTGAGAAATATCACTTTCAATTTTTGAAATACACAGATACACTTTTACCGCTATACAGTATTGCACACTGATCACTTTACATCCCATCCAAGTGTTTCTTTCGCAGATTATTCATGTCATCAGAGCTTGTGAGCAGAATAATTCCCCAATTATTTCTCGTTTTTATATTAAAAAACAAAATACTTCCACTAAATAAAAGATAACGATTTAACTCTTGAATAATTTTGTTTGGATATTGGAAAAGATAAGAGAGCAACATTCGTCAATGGATGGATGGATGTGAGGTAATGAAGGAGAAATATATAAAAGCAAATATAAAAAAATTATTCATTTATAGTTTATTATTTAGCTGTTTAACATATCAATGTTACTGTGAAACAAAGGAAATATTTACGTCTTCATTATGAAACTGGTAGAAAAACTACAAATGCACAAGGATAACATCACGTTATTGCACATCAACTGATGTTGTGCAAAATAGGAAAGAACAGTGAAGTTGAATTTTGCGGTCCACCAGGAGAGATCAGGTTTGTGTGTTCCTAGCTTCGTGCATGAATTAATTGATGGGTCTTGTTGGAATGCTATGATTTAAGACAATAAATATTTATTTTAAAGCTTGTCGCGACAATACCGCCGTCTTCATCACGGTGATGACGTCCTGTGAGCAGAAGTTCATGTGATCCGTTGTGACTTGATAGTCAAGATGCACGTATATGTACGTAATAAATATGTTATGACTTATAGTAGACAGGGGTGTAACCGGTATCAAAAATGCGATACCCGTATGAAAACTTCGTATCGGTCGGTACCGGTTTGTCTTGATCGTTTTTTGCCTAAATACAAACACTTTTTCCTTGTTTATAGAAATATGTCATAGATGAACTGAATTTACATGATATTTTTCGCCAAATCGTATCATATCCCAAAATACCAGTAATGCCGACCGATTGACTATACGTCATACTAATACCGGTATACTGGTCGGCCTTATAATTCATACCGGCTGCACCTCTGATGGTACGGTCTACTGTTTTAAAGTTTACACAATTTTTCTAAAGAGAAATCGATCCTTACTGAGCGAGTAATCAAACTTCGAAACTCAATATCTTCATAAAAAAACATCGCTTAAACCTTTATAACTTGTTTTACCTCTGTTAAATACATTCTTCTCTTGTTATAGAAACTATTTACTTGACAAAGTCGATCGCCTAGTTATAAAAAAATAATATTACTGACGTAGATCTACGTAGAATAACATTCATTACAAGAAAAAAATATACTTTGTTTGGCTACATCATATATAATAAATATATAATCAGTTATTTTGTACAGAAACATCGTTCAGTCATATTTACTTTAACTATCGGTTACACCTATTTGTTTAAACTTCTTTATGAACTTATTATAATATGTAAACAAGTTTTCCTACACAGTTTGACTTTTTTCAGTGTGAAGACGACTTTTAATTTATTTCTAAAAAAATGGTTTTGTTCGTATACATTATCGTTAATGTGATATGCCTGACCGTTGCACAGGTTCATCGAATATTATCAGCTCATATAACGATTATTCCTAATTCTTTGTATGAAGCTGCTTTTGAACGACATTTTATAGATGAGTTAGATGCTCAAACCGTTCAACAATGTGCTCATCAATGTTTACAAAATGATTTTTGTCGAACAGCAATATTCTACCATCAGTTAAGAACATGTTCAATGTATGAAGAATATTCATATGTTGGAACAACAAAATCAACACTCAACTCTGTTGCATCTGTTATTCAACTTCAGTTGTGTCCAGTTGGTTTTAATGAACCTGAATATAGTTGTTTTAATGATGATCGTTCACCAGTACTCTTTAGTGAAATGATACACAATATGACTGTAAAACAAATATTGCATATTTCTTCGTATTTTCCGTTTATGAGTACAACCCAGTTATATTTACCGATTCAGAATGACGATACAATTCAAGTATATGATTTAAATACATTTTTATTAACAGATACACTCATTCCTATTCCGTCCATTTCATTGTACGGTTTTGATATGGATTCAAGTAATAATTTTGTTATAACGGATAAATATGGTACAGTGTATTTTGTAAATAGTAGCTCGTACCTTGTCACACCACTGTCGATGAACAATAATCAGTATCAATATGCATGTATTTCCGATGATTATATTGTTGCTCTTTATTCAAAAGGGAATGGAGCTGATGTATATTATGCAAGTAGTCTTCAATTTGTTTTCTCCATCACAACTAATTATCAAGTGGCGAATTGTATCATAGTTTATAATCGAATTTTTCATTCACAATTCGATGAGAATAATTATGTTATTGATATCAGTAGCACGGCATCAGCTTTTCAAGTGTTTAATTATACTGCGTGTACTGGTTCTAATTGGATTGATTTAGATCATTTTTATATTGATGCATCGGGAAGATTTTACGTTCCTTGTGTACTTTCATCTTATCTAATGACATATCAAGTATTTGATCAAAATAGTCAGAATCATCTGTCACCATTTGATATTGCCCAATATCCATCTATTCATGGAATTGCAGTCAAATGTTCAAAATATAAATGTAACATGGCTATTTACAATGGAAGTTTATTAATAGGCTATGAATATTAAAAACGTTCTGATATTTTTGCTTTACCATACCCATGCAGCTACAAGTATTTTTCTTCTTGTGTGTAGTAGTTAT